GTAAAGTGCAGCAACATAAAAATATCATCATAGAAACCAAAGGGACAGATTTCCTACTACATCCAAAGTAAAGTTTAGTAGAGGACCAATGTACATATATTCAGGGTGACATAAAGAAAAACTGATTCCAGAATTCTCAGGATTATTTAGAGCTATGTCACACATCACACAGCGGCAAATTTGGGTCCAAAGCTGAATCAACTGCAGCCTGCAGCCAATAACTGCATCCTGACTTGTAAGCCTATGCAGCATGTGTTCGAAGTATATGTCTAAAACAGAAGCTGATTTAGCAAACAGCAACTTAAGACTGAACTACTCCCAGCATTCCTTGACACTGGCCAAGCTAGTTGGGGCTACTTGGAGATATGCTTCAGCAACATCTGAGATTCCTACTCCACATTAAAAGATGACCATGAGACAGACAGCACATCAATGTCTTCTATTCCCTGATTCACCTGCTCTACTGCATTTTCTCCCTATTTGTCCCATGTTTTCCTCTAAGGAGCTGAAAGGGATTGTGACAGTCCTTCTGTATTTAGCTAAGCAGGGACATGAAGCTGTATCCCTGGTCCTAGGGTGCTTCCAGGCAGGCACAGGCCTTGTCCTCTTACTTTCTACAGAGTTGTATTTCTGCAGGGGTATCCCCACTGCTGATGGCTTCTTTTCTTGTGTTGCTGGCCAGTAGGAGGATGCAAAGAAGTGACAGCCAGCTGCTCCCCTGTTTCTCATCACCCTGTTTTTTTACAGCGAAAGAAGACAGCATTTAAAAAAAGTGGTTGGTTGCTCTACAGCAGAAGCAGCAAAGCTGCCCTGGGTAAGGCTGGAGCTTCCTCCCACCTGCAGCTCCAAAACCACAGGATGTTGGCCCACTCTGCAGCCTCACTTTTTTTTTTTAAATAAGAGGGGAAGTATAATAGGATTTTCTGAGGAGAAAACAAGTTATAAAAAAGTCAGTAGAATTAAAAAAAAGAGTGGAAAAAGAGATCCCCAAAACAGGGACTAAGAAAATTAAACTAGTATTCCATACTAAGCCATCTACCCATGGTCTGTGTTTTTGCTGATTGGATTAAATCCACTTTCTCCAAAGTAAGGCCTCCTCAGATGTGTTGGTCTGCCACTCCAACCACCATGGTGATCCAAGATCTTAAGGGCACCAAATTAGAGAAGGCTAGAGAACCTATTTTCTTCAAAGGCTATTTTCTTTTTCTACCTGGCTAGAGAAAAATTATTATGGAAACCTTGAGGGCTCATGGAATTCAAAACCTCAAAAAAGGGTATCGTGCTGCTTGGAATTAAGCATCTTTAATTCACTATAAATCCAATATTCAACAAATTGAGCAGAGGACAAGTGATTGTACAAGCCTCTTGTTACGGAACATGACACCTAATTTAAATTCTCACTGCTTTATTTTTCCTGCTAAATCTGATATCCAATGTTCTTTGTGTAACCTTCTGTAGTTTTTTGCAATACCATCAGCTGGGTACAATTTCCAAATCTCATTAGGAATATAATTTTTCGTATACACTTTCCAAGTTCATACTTCCTCCATCCCAGGCATTCTGATTATCTACCTGGAGCTTTTGAATATTATTTCCATCATTGCTAGAGTGAGTCTTGTTGATAAAACAATGTAGGAGAGATTTTTTTCCCCTTCAAAATTCTGAAGATAAAATTGAGCAGCAACATTTATGCCACTAAATATAGGCTTCATTGGGAATATTTGAAAATAGCATTGGAAAGTTATACTGTAAACTAGCTCCAAATACGTTCTTTAGATAGTTTCAATTTGTTGCATATACTTCTTGAGATTCCCAGGGTTTTCTCAGGTTCAGATATGACTTTCCATAGACTGTGGATGTATGGGGAAATTTGTTTGAGAATACTTTGGAATAGGCATTTCAAGTGCATACATGTGGTTTCTTCAGGCAGAATTATAAGGGGAAGCATGCAGGAGGAACTCTATCCAGCTATTTACTGCAAAGTAATGCAATTCATATAATATTGAACCATATTAGGCTTTCTGTATTTCTATTCTATCATGCCATGGACCTGACCAAAGCCCCTTTGGGCATCCCAAGGACCTGCTCCTGTTTTAATCCTGGTCCACCATGAGATAGTTAAACTACCCAAGAGTGGATTTTGCATTAAGAGCATCTGATTTAATGTAAGGCACTGAGAAAACAAGGACAATTGCAGCGTTGGCTCTCTATTGCCTAATACATGTTTAGTAACCAAAGATGGGAAGCTCTCAAGAGATCTCATGGTGGGCTTCCATAGCTGGAGTCAGTTATACCTGAAATTTTCATACTTTTTCAGGTTGTGGAGCTTGTTAATTAAAAAAAGATATCTAGAAGCCCTGATCAAGAGGCAAAGCGATAAATGACGTCCCTGGGATGCTGTGTGTGTGTGTGGCTTTTAAATGTCAGCTGACAAGCCCCATCCTTTCCACTGTACCTTAGAGAAAATGTTAGGGATGCCCCTGGGTATCTTCCTTGGTCTCTCATAGAACCCCACCAGAACACAGTTTGAAATACCCATTGGATCTGGCAGAGCTGATGGGGAGAATTAACTCTGACTCATCAGGCAGTTTCTCCTATGAACCTGCATGTTAACTGAAAGCCTACTTCCAAATAAATCCAATGCTGGACCAGAAAGGTCACGAAGATAAATTCTTTTCAGCAATCTAAGGAGGGATTTCCAGCTATGATCCATTAGGCCATCTGCGTTAGTATATGGATCATTACTCTGATGTGAATTCAGAAAGGAAGTGGGGAAAGGCTGGCTTCCAACTTCAAAGCAATCTCCCCTGACCTTAACAATTTTATATACTTGGTGTATAATTTCATAAACCAACCAGCTTGGTAAACATGTTCATAGGATGTTAACAGAAGGGATTTAAGGAAAAAAAGGTTTGTGCCCTTATATTGGGTTTAGCATGTTGTGCAGAGTCAAAAATGATTTAATCTAAGTGGGGCATTTTGAATGAATATTTTAAGCCTACCACGAGACAATTAGGGCCATGCAACAAAATGTGTATAACTGGAACTGGTAGGCGATGGAATTGGCATCAAATACAAGAATCCCTACTCTCATTTGAGTTGAAGTGTAAAACCTACCTATTTAATGTTAGAATATGGAAAATTACAACTAATCTGCATGGAGTTTGTGTACATCAATGGAGTCTGAGAATTTTGTATGCAATTATATGTTTGATTTTACTTGGGAAAAAAATCCCAGAGGGCAGTTTATCCCAAGCACCAGCCAGCTATATAACCACTGAGTTCCTTTTCGGGGCTGGTATAAGCTGATCTCTAGCATCATGGTCTCCCAATCAGCAAAGGAAGCATATGGAAGGATTGTTGAATAATAGTTTTTCAGCCTAGCTTGCAGTATGAGAATAAAACCAGTTCCTGCAAGTTCCTCTCTCAGCTTCAGCCTAAGCTCTCAATTGCAGAAAGAGTTGAATAAGTCTGGATAGCACTACTCAGTATTCCAAATGAACTAGATGGCAGGGCTGCTCTAAAGTGGAATTTCCTCAAGCAAAAGTTAGCTCTAGCGTGCAATTTGTGGGTCATGTATTGCTCTTATGCAAAGGACTGCCATGTTGAGGACGGGGCAAAATGATCTAATTTGTTCAGAGCTGTTCCAAAAGACAAGACAGGAAACCATGGATGCAAATGGCAAGAAAGTAGATTTCAGTTGGAGACCAATCTTCCTAACAGAATTGTTCAACAATGAAACAGACTGCTTTAGGAAGCAGTAGACTCTCTTTTGCCAGAGGGGTGTAAACAGAGGCTGGATGGCCATCTGTCAGGAATGCTGTAGTGAAGATTCCTGCACTGGGTAGGTCTTGGACCAAATGATCTCTGAAGACCCTTCCAACAGTTACATTTTATGATATGAATCTTAAGTATCTGCCATCTTCCCTTCCTCTCGCCTATTCTCACTCAGATGATGATGGCATTCATCATTTTTTTCAAATAACTATAGCTTATTATTTGTCCAAACATGGAGCTGTGGTTAGTTTAAACTATGGTTATTTCAAACAGACCTTAGTTTCAGATCTTTATTTCTTTTTTCCTTTGGAAAAAGGAGCAAACTATGGTTAGTTGATGGAAGCAGCTTAATTTGATACCTTCTTTTTACTAAATAAAAAGAGGAATGAGTAAAGGAAAAAGTCCCACAGACAAATAAGGGCTATAGAGGAGGCTTCTGGGTGAGACTATTAAGTTTGTCACATTTCAAAACCAATTGTCTGAGGGGAAAGAAAGTCAAATATTCTCAGGACAAAATCTACCTAAACTTAAATCATCTTTTTCTCTTGTCTTTGACTTAATATCCAGCCAGTGGTAAGAGTTCTGGAGAACCTTCCTCATTATTTTCTGACTTGTTACTTGATCTCAATAAACACACACACACAAACAAAAGTCAACCTATATTATTTATATTCCCAGTTTCTTTATAGGCAACCTGAAGGAAGCTAATAAATCCTTCCAAAGGCAAATCTCTTAGATTAAATACCTGTACAATCAATAGAATATCTTTATGAAGTTTAAAACATTTTGCAGCAACTTCACTGAGATCAAAAACAGGTCTTGAAAAAAGTCAAGATCTGCTGCATCTTCCATTTGACCCTCCCAAGACTACAGATCCAATTCTATGGAAGAAGGCCACAACCTGTCTAAGGGGCATGACAATGGAACTCCTCTCCACATAAAATGCACTCATGCAATGGCCCTCCACATCTTGCCAGCCATTTCCCTGTCAGGTGTTATGCCTCTACTCAGATGTTTACCACATTTGGATCAACTGCTGAAAGAAATGTCACAATTCAGAATTTAAGGAAAGTTAACCCAAATTCTGAAACTAACCAAAAGAAACAAGAATGAACTTTGGTAGCCATGCAAACTTCCTTCTATATATCAATAAATATGTGATGTTGTTACCATAATTTTACTGTATTGTTTGCTTCCCCAAAGGAATGAAATTCCATACAAACCTGGGCTTTTAAACTGATCCGGGCTGGGAAGGTGGTGGAGGGGGGAGTTACTCGCTGAAGCAGGGTGCTCGCTACGAAGCATCTGAGCCACCCGAGGCCCCATGGAATCATAGTCCGCATACGATAATGGAGCCCGTTGGTCACCGGGCGGAGAATAGAAACCATAATCGGGGATCCCTGGAGATACAGTGACTCTATCATTGCAGATACTAGATTGGTGCTAATTTTCAATATTAAAAATGTACTTTTTTTTTACAGTTACAATCATGGAAACACAAGGCAAATATTAAAAAGTAGAGTTTTGAGAAGAAAATGGATCATACATGCCCCCAATATCCTTGCTATTTTACTCAACTTTGTTAGTACAAAAACAAGAAGACTGGATATAAAACAAAGAAACTCACCACCTGATTTACTAGAAGTCTTTTTCCAGAGCAGGAAAAATGATGCATGAGAATGAAATATTGACCCTACTAAGTAACAGGGAATACATTGCAAATGGAGAACTGTAGGAAAAAGCTAATTAGAGCTAATTTTCAATGCCCATGAATTTCCTTATCTATGGAAAATCTCCAACTCCCATTTATCCAAATATATAGATTTGTATGAGTTATGCACATTTAGACATTTGTAATATATCCATACAAAAACATGTGCTTAAGTCAACGTATGAGCACGAACCTTTCTTATCCCCAAATGGTAAATAGATCCTTCCCCTGTTTTATCTTACCTCAATTGTCCTGAAGTTCTGGATTCTCCAAGATACCCCCTTTTAATACTGTATCATTTAGACAGTTTGTATACTATTTCACAATATCACAAGTCACAAGAAGTGAAGTTCACCTTCACAGGTCATACTTATATCAGTAATGACTATTGCTTTAATAAGACTAGTCAGTTTAATGTAAGCCCCACAACCAACTGATTCGAGTCAAAGAGAAAGATTCTCTAAAACTGCATATAGCCTCAAGATTGAGAACTTCTGAGAAAATAAATATATCAAGAACAAATATCATAGATGAAGCTGAGCTCCTCCATGTTTATCTTAGCAAAAGGGAGAAAACACAGTGTGGCCCAAAATGATAAACACTACAATTCATCCAGATTTCGGATATTTACTTTAACTTAGACTCAAAATGGTACATCTTAAGATGGGAGCATCTTACTTTTTGAAGAACAATAATTCTCAAATAGGCTTGTATAACATACTTGTGCATACATTTTAATGAAACAGGCTATTTATTCCTTCAGTTTAAGTAAATTTGTGGTAAAGAAGAATGGCAGATTATCTACCACTTGGATGGAAAAAATTCACACTGCTATTGCTCTTGCAATCAGCAGAGGATTCCCCAGCAGTTCAAAACCCTCCTGTTTAATATCTACATGTAACCACTGAGTGAGGTCATCTGTTAGGGTCCAGTATTGTCAATATTCAAGATGCTGGTCATCACCTATAAAGTCCTTCATGACATAGGGCCAGGTTATCTGAAGGACTATCTCCCATGGTTTCTACCTGGAAGGTAAGAGCCAACAGAATGAGTATGTTCTGGGTCCCCTCGATCAAACAGTGTCATGTCATCTTTTTGAACCCAGGAAATGTGCCTTCTCTGTTATAGTGCCTGGGGTAGAGAGTAAGGAAGATGACTTTGATCGAGGGTATGTAGGCTCTGTTGCCTAGGCAAAAAGGACCAATGCATTTTTAAGTCCAGAAAATGTTAGAAAGCAGTTCAGACAGATGCCTCCCTTATTCACTATACTGTTATTATAGCTAATCTCAATAAAAGTTGTTTTAGCTTTCCTGTGGAATTGATTTCATAAGCTGGTCAGGACTGACTCTTGCCCTCTGGAATAAGGTCCCCCTGAGACCCATATGTTCCCACCCTGTGGTGTTCTGAAAGGCATTAAAGTTCTGGCCTTGGGATAGGGTGGATGGAACCCCTTGTTCGATATGTTTGTCAAATGTCATATATGTTCTGATGTAGTTGTCTGGATTTGCCATTTCCCCTACAGTATTTCTATTTCTTTTGTTGTATTTGTGTTGTTTTTATATAGTTGGCTGCCCAGTCATGTGGCTCTAAAGTTGAAGTAAGGAAATAAATAAATAAACAAATGATAATCCAGGGAAGATCTGAAGAGGGAAAAATAAGTAACAGATTTTTTGGGGGGATAACTTGACTATTTTTTAACCTTTGGAATAGTACTTCCTTTCTGCTCTCATGTAACTGTGCTACTGAAGCATTTCTATTTTCTTCTCTTTTTCTGGATCCATGTTGTACCATATCAAAGGATGTATTGGCATTATAGTTTGTAAAAAGTCTCGTAAGTAGTTATTTAGATCCCAAACACGTGTACAGATATTTTGCCTCTTCTGAATGTTTCTCCACACATATACTAAGAATATTCAATGAGAAAATAAATGATTTCCACCCCCCATAAGTACATTTCAGGCAGAATTAACTGGTGTAGAATTTATTTCCATGCCAGCTTTTATATCAAGTAATATTTTGGTGCTGCCTTATGTTCCTGAAAGAATTGACAAAGATTGGAACTCAACTATTTCTCTTTTCAATTACATTAGCTGTTGGGACCCCCAAATTGCCTGTAAATTACTTTTTCCAGATCATGCAGTCACATGGGATATGTCTGCCCAGATGGATGAAAATAATTGTCTCTACTGGGGAACTGTTTATATCTATAGCCTACTTCTAGGGACCTCCAGGGGACACTTAAAAAGTGGGTGTTCCAATCTTAGCCTGGACTGATCTCAGCATAAGCAAACCCTTTAAGATTAACAAACATTTTGCAAAGGTTGCACAGACACAACCTGAAATTCTGCCCAGTCTGCCCAGTATCTGCCCAACAAGTTAACTATTTTGTTAGCCATTATCTATATGCAATTTTCACTGTCTGCATCCCAGTTTCCTCTGGTGTCTCCTTTTAGTAGTTTCCCCTTCCCAGCCAACTATGGAAACATACACATATATAATATGTGCAAACCATTTGCTCAAAAGAAGGAATGTGAAGCCCATGGGCCACTGCTGGAGGACAGAGCAAGGTTGAGGAAAACCCCATATGGCTGTAATGCTTTTGGAAAGGAAGATCACACTGACAACCTGCTGACAGATTCTCTCCCCTCACTTGCCATAAGCAACCAGATGCAATTTGGCAGCCTTTGCACCATCAGTGTTTATGATAATAGCCATGTGTGCTTGAAAGCAGCAGGAAATTTTCAATATAACTATCATTAAGACAAAACGCTTTAAATCAAAGCCATTACTGCTACTGAGAGTTAAAGCTCATAAGATTAGGCTGCTTTTTATCTTTATGAAAAATTCATAGAACAAGCTGCCAAACAACATCTTCTTGCTCAAGAGAGTAAATGATATAATAATATTTAATGCTGCCGATACAGATGAAAGCGGAGACAGAAGTTGCATGCTGTAATGTGTACATCAGGGAGACTATGTTGAACAAGGAGCTCTGACACTCAGCACATGTAATGCTGGGTAGACAAGCAAATGGGAAGCCTGCTGTTGCCTTCCCCAACTTTTAGACTTCAAAGATCAGCGGCTGCTCTTCGCTTTCCTTGCAATTTGGTTGCAAATGTACAGGTGCAGTGCAAAGGTGGAACTAAATTGTTCCAAGATTTATTCAAAGCAATAAAGCTGGAAAAATCGAACACAAAGCAAATAGAATGTAAGAAACACTGAAGCATCTGGGCAAAAAACCACCAAAACTCTTGTGCCTTTGGTGGTCAAGAAGAACTGGGCCATTTCAAGAGCCCTGTAGGCCAGTCACCCAAGTTATTCAGCTGGAGGAGAAAATAAAAATCAGTTTAAGCCATGCTACCAAAATACAGGTAGTCTCATTTAGTTTCTGCAATTGGTTCCAATGACTCAGTTGTTAAGTGAAATGGTCACTAAGTGAACACATGACTGACAGAGAGATGCTGCAAAGATCACTGGTTGTTGCTGCCTCATAAAGTTCTCTCATACAGTGTCCTATGCCTCACTTGTTTTTTCCCCCTTGCAGGACAGACAGATTGCTTAAACAAGTTATCTCTTCCTGAGCTGCTTTTCTCCCCAGCACAGCACTTCCCTAAAAAGTGCTAAGGCAAGTTAACAAGCTCAGCTCTGTGACCTTAATTAGCTGATTAGAACCCTTAGGCAGACTTGCAGCTGCTGCATGAAACTGACCAGACCTTAACCAGTTTCAAACTGAAGGGTTTTGTTGTTGGGCATTGGTTGGAAAATAATTTTTTATTATTGTTTATTACTGTCATATTTGCAAATGGTTGCTATTCGAGGCAGTTGCTAAATGAAGACTACAAGTCAGTATTTTGCTGATCCTAGAAATCATGTGATGCCTTTTCCACTGGCTGCCACTCTCATGTCTCTAGACTTCCTTCACTTTCTTGCTGAAGAAGCTCTGACACTGTTCTTTGAGGATATCATGGGTTGCTAACAGAGTTGAAGAGGGGTGTATATCATCTATGATGTCTTAATTCAAATGATGAACTCACGGAACTGAGCCACCTCACCCCTCAAGTCTTTGGCCTGCTTGTGAGCAACATTATAAGCTCCCTGTAAACAGGGCAGGAAAAAAAATCTATAAATATGCATCATCATACATCATTCTGCATGTCAGCATTAAAATGTGTTAGAATAATTTAAAGCCAAGATTACTGTAAGTAGCATTCATTTACACCTGCAGAAATGTTCTGTCTTCATTTCACTCCTGAGGTGAAATTGAAGGAGATCCACAAGTGAAACAACTGGGACTGTTCAAAAGCATCTTAGTTTACTTTCTACTTTTCATCTTAAGTTTTTGAACAGCTAAGCCCCTCAGAGAGCTGCTCAGGTTCTGTTTTGGGGATGATGACATTGGAGGAACAGAGGAGCATTTATGGAGACTGAATTCAAGATCATGGGAATCTGACAGAGAGCATATTTTGGAGATATGACTGATTGAATGAAGATTCAGGTCAGAAAGGACTGTATTTTGTTACAGATCTTTGCAGGACAACTGTGTGTTAAAAATATTTTGCACAAATTACAGGATGATGAATTGTAGAAATGGACAAAAAGCTCATATTACAGTCTGTCAAGTTCCATCTACAGGGGTCTACCAATGTTTGGCTCAGAGTCTAGAATGACAATCTGGTAGAGAAAAAAGGA